GTAGAACATGGTTATTGTTAAGCAGACAATAAAGAGTCTAACAGTCCATTGGAGGTAAGTTGAATACGCACTTGATAAATTGGGAGCTTTCCAAATAATTCATAGGATATATCAAATGCAGAATCCAAACCTGTTCTTTGCAGGTTTAGGTAATTCGACAAACGGAAGGATGCATAATTTTACACTTGAGCGAAATTCAAAGATATACTGTATTACGTATCTCCTGTTGAATTGGGGGTTTTTTTTCGGACTATTGTTAATGCCATTCACAATAGAAACCATTAACGTAAGCATATTGTTTATGAAACTGCGGCGGTCATAACTACTTCCACATGCGGTCAGGAATATGGTGTACAACGTCTTTTAGTTGACGAATCGGAGATCCCAAACGAGTCAATTCAATCTTTTATACACTTTAGACTACTTTGAATTTCGCGGAAGCTCGTATTTTTTGGATTAAAAAAATGAGACAAAAAACAAATAAAGACTTTGGAAAGTCTTAACTATTTTAATCGTTTGTTTAAGCAAGTCTCAAATAATGACTATATTCATGACAAGTAGAAGAATAGCACCGACTAATATCCCATGGTATACCCAGGTCGAATAGAAAAAATTAACATAATTCTGAGGCTATTAATTCTAGTAAGTATGTGCGAGCAAGGGCAGTAGCACAGTGTGAAAGTCTACGGGGGGAATGTTAGCTTAGTATATCGCGTTTCCATAACAACTTTTGATCGACTTATGCGACGTGAAAGTTTGGTAACGTTGTGTTGTAATTAACGTGTTATGCAAGTATGGGAACTTTATTAAGTTTACGTTTTGGTTTAATATAACCGACTAAGCTTTAATTGAAACTCGGGGCATGTGGTAAATATTAACAGTTATAATATTACCCTAAGAAAGCAGGGGTCGAAGAATCTCATAAACGATTGGCCGCTATCTTGTGGGAGAAAAATGCCTTGGAAAATGTTCAGAGGATTATGAAATCAAAACTCTATGATGACTGAAGAATCTCTAGCATGTCATTTGAGATTATCAATCGTATCGGTATGAAAGACTCAGTTAAGGCAACGGAGTTGTTATTTCCATAAATTTCCCGGTAAGTGTACAATGCCTCGATTTCATATCTCTCTCACATCCCTATCGCTTTGTTCTACCATTTTGACAGTATTCGACGGATCAAGAAAACACTTTGCTATCGAATTCGTATGAACGCCAGGGACGATTAAATCAACGGGTAAACGGCCATCAACATTGTAATACAGTCGCGGTCAAAAGTAATGGCGGAGCATGTTTCTTAGAAAAGATAATAATTACGCAAAAAACTTTATTTTCCACATGCTTGTAAGTAGGAGTCTGAATGTGAAAAAGACCATAATAAAACACATTTTTATTGTCAAGTTAACAGTTGTTTAAATGACTGGTACCACTAAGTTTATCTTTTTAAGAATTGGATGAAATTTTTAATAATTTCATAACTTAATATTAACGTATAGTGAGCCGATCGAACAAAAAAACTACCGGAATGACTGCTGCGGAAGGGTCGTTAATAAAATAGAATTATCAAAATCGAATCACTGGTAGGAAGAGTTTAGAAGCTCCGCTCTAAACTCCGAATGGGCTCGCTGTTCGTTGGAAACGGCGCGCCACATCTGGGCGGCCCTCGCTGATATAGTCTGCTAGTCTGTCCGGAACCTATTCCGGTCTCGATATGGCTGTTTAAACATAGTTGTTGGCGGCGATTGGGTGAAACGGGCATCGTTAAAATGTTGTGTTTTTTTTTTTGAGAGAGAAAAGCTTGTGCGTGTGCGAGAGCGATAGAGAGAGATATAAAGCTGATTTACTATCGCGTTTCATTCAATTGAATTTGTCCTAAACAATTGCCAATATAAAATAAATATTAATATTGTTTATCTATCAATTCAAAAATTGCAGATAGTCCCATTTGCAGATTCTTCATAGGTTTGTAACAAACCTGTAATAATGCCTTCGGGTTATAAACCAAAACCTCCTTCGGCATTCGACCACACGTCTCCCACTTTCTGGAATAAATTCAGACCTGCAGCAGAAAGTCGCTGTACCCAAAGTCGTCTGAGGCCTTGTCGGGGACCCCAACCCGAAGTACCGACAATGAATTCCCTACGTCGCCACTCTGACCGTGCATTCTCGATTACCGAGACATGTGGGCGATAAAGCTGTGAAGTCGGATAGAGTGTTGTCTGGTAAATAATTTATAGAAGAGCGAACCTGATGGCAGCATGGTGCTTGTATTCGTGGGCTGAGTGGGGAGATCGGAAAATGGCATTGATCTTTGGTTCAGTCGCGCTAATGTTAGGATTGCCATAGTTCCTGATCTGAAGAAGAAGAGAAATTTCGTCACTCGGATGGGTAATATGGACTGCACACATTACAACAGAATACAAATTCGTAACATGACTGTCTAACTAATTACCATTTACGAATCTGTGTTGGCTAGTTTTCCATTAGAGTCCGCTGGACATTTTTAAACACGCATTAACTATTGCAAATCACGTGTTTAACTCCGTTCAGACTATCGTTTCTCTGATTTTTCAATCAGGACGCTATCAGGATCAGCATCACAGCACCACTCGGCAAGTTTCTTGTATTTCTCCGGTGCGGAACCAGGCATCGATGGTCGTGGTCTATCCATAATATCGTATACTAAACCTCTATCGAATTCCCTATCTCTGAAAGGTGGTTCACCAGTAGCAATCAAATACATAATACAGTAATAGCGCCAAAAGAATACACATAATAAGAAGCATGTAGCGACTCTATTGCCACAAAATGCTTTCGGTACTATCCATCGATCGTGGTCGTAATGAGGAGAGGACTTGCATATACAATAACACGCTTCGATCATTGTCGTTTGACGTTATACGCGTGGTACCGTCTCATCAATTTTACTCAACGACAGAAAGTTCCAGTATAACATGGGTTGGCCATGTTCATTCCAATAATATCGTTTCGTCAGTTCGTTTACTTTTGCTTCTCTCTCCTCTACAGATTTGTCGAGGACTGAAAGTTTGATTTTCTTTTTGGACGGTCCTTATTTCTACTTGCATTCGTTTAAGAGGTTATTGAGGGTGCATTGTGAACAAAGTTCTTCGTTTGGGGAGGATTGTACATAAAGAGTGAACTGTTTTTCCTAAAATAATGGGATGTAATAATGGGATGTAACATTTTACGGAGACAACTATTGGAAATTGAAGACTTGGGTAAGGTAGACTGGCCTCCTAAACTCGAGGATGTCTAAGATTAATATTAATATTAAGAGATCATTGCGTTAGATACGTACATTTATTTTTTTTTTTCAGTGTCACAGTGATTGTCATTTCCTTTTTCGTTAGTGAGGCTGAGGTTTGCAGCAATCAATTCACCACTGATTTGCATAATGTCTTCGGTATCTGATTTTAATAATATATTATTAAGAAGAGGTGTCTCTTCATATTCAGTAAAAGATGCGTTTTCATTATGAGATTCATTTTCAGCAGGAGTAAGAGGTGTATTATCTGTGTATGTGGGTGCTGTCAGTTGTTGTACAGAATTCTGTTGTTCTTGCTTTGCACGCCGTTGATATAGACTATGGCACCTGCTACAAAGATAAATATTGAAACCGTTTGACAAGTCACTTTGGTGCTTGAATTTTTGATTTGCTTTTTTTAGAAATTCAATTTGTAAAGGTCGAGTGTTGGCGGCTAAAAAAGGTCTTCTTTGTCTTACTTGCTGTTGGCTTTCGTGTCTTTGGACTATGACACGTAAATGAAGAATTGTCAGCACCACAGAAAAAACAAGCGTGCAGAGATAACATATGCTGAGGCTATAAGGCGCGTCCATTCTCTTTGAATAATGTCTTGTGCTCAGCCTTTTTACTTGTTTGTAACATATGTCATACAATCGTTTTCGTTTTCTTTTTTTTTTTTGATGATGATCATACTATTTGAAAACTAAAACTGCTATAATAATAATATGCGGACAACGACGTCAATTTCGTTAATTTCATAGTTTCCACTTTCACTTTCGACCCATAATGTAATAGTAATGGTAAATTCTCATATTCTTTGGCCTTATTAAATGATCTTTTCAAAAACTATAAAATTACCTTAGTATTAGACACAACCTTTTCTTTAAAGACGCGCAATAATTGTTTGCTAACAAAAAGATTTAGGATACTAATACAGAAGACTGAAACAACCTCCTTGTGTAATGATAAGTCTGGATGTTGCATCTGGCACTGTTACTGTCAAGTATTTAAAAAGCATTTATAAACATAAAATTCTAATCCTGTTGGTAATGATTATGGTGTGAGCCTTGGTAATAGGCTGATACTTAACATGAGCAAAGACAGTTTCTTGATCAGAAATAACATCTTTGGATGCTTTTTTTATTGCAGAAATCTTGTTTAAAAAGTATTAAGCAAATCATGCAAGTTTTTTTTTACCATAAATTGTATGTGTTGTTACTGTTTATATTACCAATATTTTTATAAAAAACCTGTCTTATTTTTTTATTAGGCTTATAACTAGAGTTTTTTAATTTTTTTTAGTTAAAAAAATAGTAATAGGGGGCAATTTTTTACCTTGTTCTTTATTTAATATTAAATGCTTCTGATAGTGCTAATGGATTTAATGTAAATTAGTTACAGTATTAGTCTCATATTAATGGGTATCCATATGCTATACTAAATTTAGTACAATGTACTTAATTTAGTACATATTTGAACTGATTATTGCATCATACAATTGACACATAAAAATTTTATGAAATGTATGCAAGTGGGTATTGGTATGGTTGATTACTATTATGCTGCTGTCAAATATCCTCCAAGTTTGTCATACTAAATTTAGTACAGGAAAATTCATGCAAAAGAGTGATGCATTCAAAACTACTTTGCACAGAACTTTTATTAGCAAACATTGTTGATTTTTTGCCCAAGTGTAGACTTGAAACTGGTTATGGTGTACATTCTAACATACTAATACTAATACTTTGAAGAAATTCAATTCAGTTATTTACATTGGCATCAACAGAGTTCCAACATGCTGTACTAAATTTAGTATGATCAGCATATGGATACCCATTAATATTAATCATGTTATGGTTCACATTCTGGTATGATAAAGTGAGCATTAAAATTGACAAGCCCATAATAATAATAAGTTATGAACAAGCACATTATACAGTATTACTTTTCAAAATGTCACCAGACACACTGGTAATTTTGCAACCATATTATAATCAGTCTCTCATTTATATTTATAAATGTTCACTTTTACTTTGTCTGGTTTTGTTGCAGCATACCCCATATTAATATATCTTTATTATTATAATATATAAACAGTTAAAAAAATTGCTATTTAATGCTTAGTATAAATATAAAGTCTTTCCAAGGTTATTCTTCTTAATATTAATACTAGTATAAAAAATTTCATTGTTTGTATTTATTATTATATTGGCAAATGGTATTCTTTGTAAATGATCTGTACCAAACCTACTTTTTATACAACTCAATCCTCTTTCTTATTTTTTCCTTTACTTCTGACCCATTTCCATAAAAAGTATACACCTTACTTTTTGCTTTACTATATCCTTGCTCAGCTGCTCTTTCATAGAATCCAAGTGCCTTTTGAATATTTGCTTCTACTGATATGTGCCTGTCACTGTTTACTGTTTTTAATAGTGTCTATTCCTATTTCAAACATTCACTCTAATAAACTCAGCTGCTTTTTGTTCATCCTTTTCTACTCCAGTTCCATTGGCATAACATACACCAAGATTATATTGAGCACTGGCATATCCTTGTTCAGCTGCTTTTTCATACCATTCAACTGCTTTTTGTTCATCCTTTTCTACTCCAGTTCCATTGACATAACATA